TGTGTGTGTGTGTGTGTGTGTGTGTGTGTGTGTGTGTGTGTGTGTGTGTGTGTGTGTGTGTACCCAATAAATATTTTTTATTTCGTAGATATTTTTCTCTCAGTGTATGCCATCCACGCATGGATAAAAACATTGGTTAAATTAACCTAATAATGACACAACTAAATTTTGATTAAAAGAAACAAAATTTCTTATTTTTAAAAGTCGAATTTGATTTGTACGAACTAAAAATTCTGTTTTCTTCAACCAAAACGCGTTTAGTTATGTCAGTGTTAATTTAGCCACAACTTTTTTTATCTATACAGTAATATAATTACATAATGTAAGGATTAAGAAGAATTGCATGTGCTTAAGTAACAAAATTAAGTGAAGCAATTTTCAGCTTGTTCTGCAGTCGCAAATGCAGTTTCATGATAAGCATAATTTTTACTTTTAATTCTTACTCGTTCTAAACCAGGATGCACGGTAAAATGAAGAATGGAAGAATGGGAAAAATTGTGCATTACATAATATTAGTTGTGATAGTTATGGTTTACATATTACTGTAGTAATTTATTCTATCGGTACTAATATATAACATACTTATATTAATATATACAAAATAATTTTTAAATAAGAAAATATACATTCCTTTAAAATGTTTAGTTTTTTTTATGAAAACAATTGTTTATCCTATTTAAATAAAAGAATTTAAATTAAAATAAATATATTATCAGTTCCTTCTCAAATAAATATTTTTTTTATTTTTAAGATATTATTATATTTATATTTATATTATTATATTTATATTATTATATTTATTTATAAAATTTTATTTTTCTCTCAATGTAGCAGTTTTGAGAGCTACATTCGACTCTTAAAGAACGGAAAGTTTTTTTCTTTCAGTAGAAACGCATTTAGTTGTGTCACTGTTAATTTAAATAATCTCTTTTTCGTGTATAGATATTACGTAGTTAATATAGCCAACGTAACCAAAATCCTATACACGCAGGTGATAAATTGAACGCGATTAATTGTCGCGACGGCTGTGACAAGCCGAGTAGTTGCATCGGTAGCTTATACCGTGACGTTCACTCCCGTCGTTCACTCACTTATCATTGAAGCGCAAGAAGAAAGGCCCGCGATTATAACCGGAAGGTCATCACGCCCGGAGGTGCACGATATTTCATTCTAACTGTACAGTCGATAATTGTTAATCGTTACGTATCAGGAAAATCAATCGTGGACCCTTGGGCTGTAGCATGCAATCATTTTCACTGTCATTGTTATTAGTTGCCGGTGCTTAACACAAATAACTCAATCCTTTAAAGTCGGAAGAATGTTTAGTTGTACTGAGATTGCTAAAGATTGTTGTAGGTTATTCGAACGGAGAAAAGCGGAAGAACTACGTGCTTCTCAGTTTAAATAGCTCCGCGTGTATTTGAAGTTACTAAACTGAAAAAGAAAAAAAATAACGAATACTATAAAATCTTTTCACGAAGGCGATAGTGTTTTTAAGATCTATTAAGGAAATTCCACACCCAAGAATATATAATCTTATCCGTTGTGAAATTCTGTTGTATATGGCTGCAAGAGAATTCTTCTAAAACCAGAAACTAAATATATTCTAAACATATTCTGTATTCAATATTATTCCTCTTCATCAGAAGAGAGATGCTCTTTCGATAATAGTTCTCGCTTAGAATAGATTTTATAGGAAATAGAAAATTTTGTAACCATAATTATTTTTTCTTATTAGAATTATCCTATCGCTAACGCGCTATCCTATAATCGCAACGCTGAGAGAAAAATACCTAAAAAGTAAAAACTATTTATTTTTTCGGTGAGTACTAATGATATATTTATTTGAATCTAAATTTTTTTGTTTAAATAGAACAAACAATTGTTTTCATAAAAAGCAAGGATTTTGAGAAAAATATATTTTCCCATTTAAAAGAAATTTTTTCTCAATAAATATATTAATAGTATAATATATATTACATAGAGAATATATATATTTAGTGTATATATATACAGAATGTCCCAGACACCCACTATTTTCAAACTTTGCGAGAGCGTAGAAAGGATTGAGGTGAACATAAAAATCCCATACCGTTTTACGATATTCATAATAAATGTGGATATATTAATTAAAATGAATTAGTGAATATAAATCACGTGCGATATGGTAGATAAGTTGTAAAGGCGATGTATGCTGTTGTATGTTTGTACATTAAGTCAAATCGAATAAAACACCTTTTATCATTTTGCAAATTACGATGTAAATTTTTAATTATTCATGAAAAAATTGCATGGTTGTGCGTGATGCACAAATTTCCTTTAATTAATATCTAAAAATCTATATGGTCATTTGCAAAATGGTAGAGAACTTTTTTTTTAATTTGTCTTAATATATGAGCACACAACAGCACACTGCAGCTTACCTACCATGTCCCGTGTGATCATTCACTAAACTTCTATAATACATATCGTGACTATTATTGTGAATATCGCAAAACGATATAGGATCTTTATGTTCACCTCAATCCGTTCTACGTTCCCACAAAAATTACGGAGGAGATTCTGAGATACCCTATACATAATATCTATATATTAGTACAAATAAATATGTTATTAATTCTCACTGAAATATTTTTTATTTTAAAGATATTTTTTCTCTAAGTATAAAGTATAAGAGTATATTTTTTTGGATGCATATAAAATTGATGAAATTGGTCATATTAAGTTGAAATCATCACTCTCTTCAACTCGACAGCAAGTGCGATCATAAACATAAAATGATCGGTGCTTGAACACGCGAAGATTTTATTACCTCCAGTTATTGTAAGGCTCGTAATAAACTATTTTTACATAACAGATACTGTTAGCCACTAACGCACGAAATGTTCGTTTTTTTCTTATTAAAAGAATCCGCTATGCTTAGAGAAAAATATCTGAAAAGTAAAAACTATTTATTTTTCCGGTGAGTACTAATAATATATTTATTTGAATCTAAATTCTTTTGTATAAATAGAACAAACAATTGCTTTCATAAAAAGCAAGGATTTTGAGCAAAATATATTTTCTCATTTAGAATAAATTTTTTCCCAATAAACATATTAATAGTATAATATATATTACATAGAGCATATATGTATTTTAGTATATATATATATATATATATATATGTGTGTGTGTGTGTGTGTGTGTGTACAGGATGACTCTCCTCCGGGCATTTTGTGGAAACATAGAATGGGTTGATATGTCATAAAAGTCCTATACCGTTTTGCGATATTCTCAATAATAATTGAGAAATTAATTAAAGAAGATTGGTGAATGATCATGCACGATATGGTAGATGAGCTGCAATGGCACCGTT